TTGAACCGCCAGCCTTCTGGTTAGCAGTCAAGTGCCTTAGCCACTATGCTACCAGAGCTCCTTACAGTATCCTTTAAAATAGAAAGCCATTTTAAATCATAGGATTATTCGGATTTTTGAAGAAATGGAAATGGTTCAAATTTCAGTTTGTATATTAGATCTGCATTTTTTGTTTTTAACTTTACATACACCTTGACAGAAGCACAGAAAACAATCTTTAGAGTAAGAAAACTAAATATGATATTAATTTAAAATATAATATCTTTTTCAAAGAAGATGGTTTAAATTTGTTGTATGTTCATTTGTAGAGAAAATCTTAGAGAAGATCTTTGTGATAGTTGCCAACCACATCAGTGAAACACATTTTGAATTTTTATGTCAAAAACTAAACCTGGCAAACTCAGAAATGGATACCCAGAGGTATGTATGAATGTGACATAAATTTATTCTTATATTCTAATTCATATTATATTGATATTACATCGTTTGTGAAACATTCATATTAATATGAACTCTAATTTCTATAGAAAACTGAATGTAGTTGATTATGTATTTGAGACCCTTGTTAGAAGGCTTTATAGCATAGTAGGTAAGAACAAGGTCTCAGAAGACAGACTGCTGGGCTTTAAATCCCAGCTCTCCCTCTTACTAGTTTTGTGACCTTGGGCATGCCCCTAAACTGTTCTGTGCCTCAGTTTCTCCACTGGTAAAATGGATACACTTACCTAAGAGAGTTGTCATGAAGATCAAATGAGATTAAGTCATAAAGCATGTATTACAGTTTGTTGTTGTTGTTGTTTGCCGTCGAGTCGGCCTCGACTCATAGCGACCCCTCCTTGGGTTTCCGAGGCAGTATCACTATGGAAGTAGGATTGCCCAACCTTCCTTCCTTCCGAGGAGTAGCTGGTGGGTTTGAACGCCAGCCTTCTGGTGAGCAGTCAAGTGCCTTAGGCACTATGCTACCAGAGCTCCAGTTATAGTAGTTGTTGTTGTTGTTATGTGCCGTCGAGTCGGTCCCGACTCATAGCAACCCCTCCTTGGGTTTCCGAGGCAGTATCACTACAGAAGTAGGATTGCCCAACCTTCCTTCCGAGGAGTGTCTGATGGGTTTAGTAGTAATTATTTACTGGTTTATAGTAAATAATCCACATTATTATTTTGAAGTCTTGAGCAAATCTCTCTTAGAGCTGAATGTATATTGAACTGTCAATTTTCTATAAGAAAACAAGGCATGAGTGGGGCTAACATCCACTTTCTGTATGCCAAGCTCTGTGCTGAACTTTTTTATAGGCTTCTTCACCAATTAATTTAATCCTCAGTATAATTTGATAAATTACTTTGAAAACCTAGATATATAATATTTAAGTAATTTAAAACTGTGTTCTGAATTGTTAATTAAAGTCATTATTTTAAAAATTTTTCAGCAATCTTACATTAAGTGAAAAAGTCCACCAAGCACTTAAGTTATGGAAAGCAGAAAGTGGTAATTTATCTGCAGATGCTTTAAGAGACCAACTGACTCGGACACTAACTATGATAGGAGCGTATGAAATTATGGACAAAATAACAGCCTTAAAGCTTTTTACGCGTGCAATTAAATTCTAAACAGCAGATCCATAATAAAAGCTGTAAACTTATCATGTACTTAAATAATTGGAATTGGATTTTTTAATCATCTCAGTTCACTTTCACTTTACTATATAAGATGCTTTTTATACATTCCTGAGAGATTATGACAATTTACATTTACTACTCTAATGTTAACAATAAAATGTTACAGTGTTTTGTATATTTGTTCTTTTGCCTGGGAATGATAATCTTCAATTTGAAAATGAAATGACATTTAAAACCTCTTTGTTACATAATGCTTTTATGCAACTCAAGATTTATAGTTAATAAGGTCAGTGCCTTTAATTGGGGTCAGAAAGTAGAGTAGTTTTTTTTTAAGATACTGTCTTAAAAACTGAAATGAATGTACCTATCTCTACTTTTTTTCCCCATTAGAAATGGAACATAAATATAAACCGAAGCCAGAGCCAGTAATGCTCTAACTGAGCATCCAGGCAGGTTTGGTGGAATGACCACCTGCTGTCTTAGCTTTCATGTCTAGAAGGGGAGAACCTTTCTGCTATCAGAAACAATTCTGTACTCTTATTGGGAGTCTCGGAAAATACTTCTTGTCATAACCCTAGGCAATGGCTCAGCTGGTATATAAATGCAGGCTACTTTCACTTTTCCAAATATGCTATGCAATCTAGCCTCAACTATGACACATGCTTCCTTTTAGCCTCCTTTATTCAATCTTTAATCCCAACCCATTCTTCCCAGGGGAGATAATCAGATTTCCCCAAAGTCAGCCTGGCATGGTGCTGTAACAACCATTTACTCCAACTTTTCAATAGTGGGGTACATGTGATTGTTTCTTGGTATCTCCTACCCTTTATAGAACACAAACACAAAGGCATAGCAGGCAGTGTATAGGTATTTATTACCTTCTCAATTTCAAGGCCTTTGCCTCCCACAGAATTTAGAGTTTTAATTACTTGTGACTGATAATTTATCAGAATATAACCCTGCCAATATCGTCAGGAATAACTATTAGGGTTTTTGTTTTTGTTTTGGGGAGACAGTGGTAGTCACCAATAGTTACAGATGGGTAAGGATCAGTTATATTTTCTCACATATTTATTCTAAAACTGAAACAATTCTTAGACTATATTTCTCCAAAAATTGGTAGAAACAAGCATTGTAAAAAAAAAAAAAAAAAAAAAAGTCATGTAATCTGTTCTATAACTGCAGTGAAGTCCCAGCTCTGTCCTTCTTGATGTTCTAAACAAATCTTTCAAGAACACTTGGAGGAAACATTGGGGGAAAATGTAACAATATATGTTTTGGTTACCTAGTACTGCTCTGACAAGAATATATCACAAATGGGATGGCTTGAACAAACAGGAGTTTATTCTCTTACAGTTTGGGAGGCTAGAAATCCAAGTTCCAAGTGCCAGGGTCTAGGGGCTGTGTGAAAGCTCCTTCACCTTGGGCTTCAGCTCTGCCTCTTGCTCCCAGCCCACTGAAGCTAGAGGCATCTTCTTCACTCAGGCAGCTTCTGGTTGCTGAGGCTAAGAAGCCCAAGATCAACAAATAAAATAGCATAGTCCCATTGTGCCTAAGGCACTTGACTGCTAACCAGAAGGCTGGTGGTTCACACCCACCAGCCACTCCTCGGAAGTAAGATGGGGCAATCTACTTCTGTAGTGATACTGCCTCGGAAACCCAAGGAGGGGTCGCTTTGAGTCAGGTCTGACTCGACGGCACATAACAACAACAACAACAGTCCCACTACCAGAGCTCCAGTTATAGTAGTTGTTGTTGTTGTTATGTGCCGTCAAGTCGGCCCCGACTCATAGCGACCCCTCCTTGGGTTTCCGAGGCAGTATCACTACGGAAGTAGGATTGCCCAACCTTCCTTCCGAGGAGTGGCTGGTGGGTTTGAACCGCCAGCCTTCTGGTTAGCAGGCAAGTGTCTTAGCCACTATGCTACCAAACCACATAGCAGGCCATTAATTCAAGTCCAATGAAAGTCCCAAGGTCAGCAGAGCATGGCAGGCTGCTGAACAACGACACGGCTACATGCAGGGTTTAAGAGTGCCATAAGCTAGAGACCATTCCCAAAACTGCTTCTTCTATACTGGAAGCAGCCCACATCCCTAAAGCAGCTACTCGGCTGCTCCAGTACAGTCCACCATGGAGTTAATTACCAGTCTCACCATGGGGAATAACTACGTCCAGCTGCCCAGCCACTCAACCAGGTCTAGCAAGTTGACACATAAACTTAACTACCACAATATACTAGAGGCAAGATTAACTAAACTAACTGAGTAACCAGAATCCTAGGTGGACACAGGAAAATTCAGAGATTGACCCCAGAGTGTCATCCATAAGGGAACACACTATAGGGCTGGAGAGATTTTTTTTTTTTTTTTTGAGGGGGATGATAGTATATTTATTTTTGTAACGATACATTTTTTTTTCCCTTCACACAAGTTAATATATGTCTACCCTCTAGCTAATGGTTTATCTTCTGTTCCCCACCCACTTGTGGACAGAATTTTTTTTTTGGCTTCAAAAAACAGAAATTCATTCTTTCACAGTATAGGAACTTAAAAGTCCAAATTCAAGGCACCAGCTCTAGGAGAAACCTTTCTCTCTGTTGGCTCTGAGAGACAGTCTCTCTCTTTTTTCTACATCTGTGGGCCCAGTGTTCCATAGAGATCTCCATGTGTCTTGGCATTAATCTTCCACTGGGTCTTGGCAGTGACATTGGGTCCTAAGGACACACTCTGCTCCTGGCTCTTCTTTTTTGGTGGTAGTAAGGTCGTTCTCATTTCTGTTCACTTCTTTCTCCTTTTATCTCTTGTATCTCTTGTAAGACAAAAGGTATGACTCAAGCAAGGGTGTGGCTTGAGTAAGGGTGGTGACTCCAGTGAGAGTGGTGACTCAAGATACACTCCACACAAATCCTGCCTTATTAACATGTAGAGATTAAGATTTGGAACACATTAGAAAATGGAGGATGATTACATCAGATCCCAAAATGAAGGACAACGACACAATCCTGGTAATCATGGCCTAGCCAAGGTAACACATATATTGAGGGGGACACAATTCAATCCATAAAAGGAAGGATATTTGTAGGTTTATAGAAAAGTGTGATCTCTGAGACAGGATAAGAGAAATAGTTTAAAAGGAGACTAAAAACAAAATTGATCTGAAGAGTATGAGAAGAGTATCATGATGTCATTGTATCCAAGAAAGTAGAGACTTTCAAGAAGAAAGGAGTGGATTCCAGTATACAACAAAACAGAGAGATCCATAATATAAAGACTTGCAAGAAGCCATTGGTCAGTAATATGTAAGATATTGGTGATTTTCTGATGAATTCCTAATATCAATAATACTACTTGGTTTTCTTCATTCTTCTTTGCTCTGGATGAGGAGAGACCGATCATTGCATCTAGATGGTGGCTTGCAAGCTTTTAAGATTCCAGTCACTACTCGCCAAAGTAGAAGGTGGAACAATGTTTTGTGTAGTATGTTATGCCAATTGAGCTTGATGTCCCCTGGGACTATGGTCCTGAGCCCACAGGTTCAACTACTCCCTCCCTCTGGGTAGCTGGCTGTGACCAAGCAGTGACTACAACCTTGTCCCTTGGCAGCTCTACTGTACCCCTGGGAATTCTTACAGATCATACAAATACACTTGTAGAACCATTTTCTGCCAATGGTTGATAGATGGCAGATTTGAAGCATGAATTTTTTTTTTTTTTTTTTTTTTAGGTTGACTGGTAATTGCATATATTTAGAGTTGTGGAAACAGAAAATAGAGTTGAAGGTTGTAGACAATGAAGCAAGACTGGGTAGTTAATGAGCCAATTATAGAGTTTCACAGAAGACAGAAATGAGTGGTGCAAAAAGGGTATGGGGGTGTTGTCTGATCCCCTCTAAACTTCACAAGTGGGAAGAGGATCAAGCTCAAAAGCCCAAGGCTGATTCCTGAGGTGGAAGTCAGACATGCCACACCCCTCCAACCTTCTTAAGATTCTGAAACCAGTGTCTCTCCCACTCTCTACTTCTCTGCTGAGTTTGATAATTTGTTGCAATGCCCACACAGGAATAGTTTAAATACAATACTAACAGACAGTAGTAATGGTTATGGGGCTTATTAGAACAGGTTACAATTCAGGGTCAGCAAGAAGGATTGCTTCTCTTCAGCCATGCTGCAGGCATACTTCTCTCTGGCTTTGGCTTCGGCTTTGGCACTGCAGCTACTTGGCCTCTGCCCTGCTCAGGTGTTATAAAGCTCTTTTAGCTCTGCCAATAGGTGCCAAGAAAGGCACTCCACTCCATCAGCAAGGCACTCTTGCCTGAAGTAGACAGAATTTTTATATTCAGGAATATCTCTAATATATCTTAACCACGTGTCTTAGTCTGGATTCTCTGGAGAAGCAAAACCAGATGCTCTGCTTGTGTAGTGCCTAACCAGAAGGCTGGAGGTGCAAATCCACCAGCCACTCCTTGGAATGAAGACTGGGCAATCTACTTCTGTAGAGATACCGCCTCCGAAACCCAAGGACGGATCACTATGAGTTGGAACTGACTCAATGGCAGTGAGTTTGGTTATTTTTTTTAATGTGTGTGTGTATGTATATGTATGTGTGTGTGTATATATACACACACATATACACGTGCATTTGTATATACACATGTATGTATATATAGATAGATACACATATATGTATATTGAGAGATTTATCCAAGTTGACACACAACCAAAACCATCATACCATATATAGAATATCACTAATTTCTACAATGAAAAGCCATTTTAACATATATGATGTATCATATATGTTATATATGATATGCTATGTATGTATATTGTATTGTATATTGATATGCTATGATTTTAACAATGAAAACACATTTCTAATTTTTATTATGTAAATTAGCCATGGCTCTGGTATCTAGCTTTCAGTAACTACCTCTGAAGTATGGCATTCTCAATTAAAAATTTGGATTTGAAATGCCAGCCTTCTGGTTAGCAG